TTTTTCCGCGCCCTCGCGGCTCTGAAAATTTCGATTGACCGACGTTCTCGTCGAGACTGCGATCGCTGCTTCGCCGGGAGGGCCGGCGAGAAATTTCACACTGTGATTACGCGCATTATTACCGCGTGAATATATCGAGTAATGCGTTACATTTTATTAGCGAGTGTAATCTGTCAATCGTCGTTGCGCAGACGAACGAAATTGTTTGTGATTGCATATATAATTAATCGCCTGATTTTCGCCGCTTTACGTACATATTTCCACCCTCGTTTCGAGTTCGGTTCTCGCGTGTCTCAGTTTTTACCAACTACACCGGGACCGGTTGTATGCGTAAATATTGCTACCGGCTATTTACAAGCCCGCGCTATCGCTGCTGCTATCGAAGATATGTACACGTGTATATATATATATATATATATATAAATGTTTCGCGCCGCGGGGCAATATACATATATATATATGTACACACGCGTATATACCATTATGTATTGCATAACATTACTGGCCGATAGTGACTTTGCCTCCTATCGACGCAGCGGTTTAAAGCTTGGTGTTCAATGTGCTCCTTGCACCTTATTTCTTGCTCTCTATCTTTCTTCTGTAAGAACTTCTATTTATTTAAGGAAAAGAGAGAGTCAGAAACTCAGAAAGACGCAAAGGGCACATTGCAGATGAGGCTTTAGGAAGAGCGTATCAAGTTTCTCTGCGTTACGATGAACCGCTCTGTGTTTTCCTCCCCCTGTACAGAAAACGGAATACGTTGGCGCTGTTTTTTTACCGTCCAATTTCGAAAGTCCGTCGTCATATCCCGCGGGACCATTTCGGTCGTCCGCGCGGGAATTCGCGAGCGCGGATTCCGGCTCAATTTCGCGTATGCGGAGAGCGTATCGGCGGGCGCTTCGTCGGAAAATGCGATATCGCGGTAATGTTGACGAATCGATTGAAGCGTGAAGCGCGCGATGTGCCGCCACGCGTCGTAAATTTTTAGATATCCGTGACGGAGGGGCGGCGCGCAAACACCAAAATAACCGGAAATCGTGCTTTCGCGTTTTCGCGCTTTCCTCCGCGAATATCCTAAATATATTCCTCGCTTGCGCGATGATGATATAGCCGGGGCGCGCGAATTTTCCCGCGGAGAAAAGCGAGCGGCGGGTGCTTCGCGGAAATTGGATCGCGGCTTGATCGAACCCGATTGATCGCGATAGGAGAAGCTTTCTCCGGACGTGTTCCAGGCCGCGACGAATAGTATATTTCGACTTGTCGAGTATTCACGTCTCGTGAAAGATTTCGATCGTCTTTCATATACGTCACATATCGCCGAGACCGCCGACGACGACGAATCAAGGACAGGTGGGTTCTCGAGGGTGGTTCGGGAACGCTCGAGCCGTTTTCCCGAAGCGCACGTTCGCACGTAGGCCGCGCTTTTACGACGCTCTCGAAAATATGTGTGTGACCCACATCGCGCACGGCTCCGGATGTAAAAGTAACGACCGCGATAAATAACGTTTACATATTGCGATAACATACGAGGACTCTCTGACGGGTTCCTTCTCTCCCTCCCTCTCTTCTCGGCTGCTTATTTTTTCGAAAAGTGGCGACCTCGTGAACGTCTCAAGAATCCCCACCGGCTGTTCCTCTCGAGCGATTCGGATTCGGTACTTTTTTTCACGACGAATATTTTTGGCCAGCATTATCTTTTCACGAGTTTCCTCGACGTTTGACACGCCGGGTCTGTCGCGATACCTGTAGCGAAGACGTCGCCGAGGTAAACGCCGAGGTATTTCCTACCTGTTTACCGCTATTTTCGCTTCGGTGATCGTCAATAACACATTCCGCTCTAAATAAAGTTGGCACGTGAAGTAGGAACGTATAACTTAGCGCCCCGTCGTGCCCCTACCGCGTCCTGCGGTATCACAATGAAACACGTGGAAGGACGATATCCTCGTGGAGTCGCGTGTGTGCTTTTCGTCGCGCGGCGATCTCGGGAATTCCGCCGGGAGTGTTCCGATCGGCTAATACCGAGCGTTCTTTCGGAAACGGTTTGTAACTCGAATCGGAGCGAACGTTACGCCAATCCGAAGTGCACCACCGACGATAAATGGTACAGACGACGTTGTAACGTTAGTTTAGCGCGCGATCAAATCGGCGCGAATAGGCGGCAAACGGCTGCTGACGGGTTCATAAAAAGTTTATCCGCTTAACTCGACACCGTTCTACCCTTATATTCATCTTGACGTGAGAAACGCAAATTTCTCTTGCTTTATTTGTCGTTCGTTGCTGCATAAAAAATGGAGCAGCGAGAGGAAAAGAAAAATTACGGAGTTACCGTGTCCCCCATTTAGTGACAAGACAAATCCAAGAGAAAGGGAGAGGGGGGAGAAAGCAGATTCTGCCCGAAGATTCTCTGTGAACTCCATCCACAAGATCTTTCTGAGGCAAAAACTCGACGATACTTCAAGCAAATTATTTATAATTTTACTTTGAATTAAAGTCACGTCGGAACAAGAAACGCGGTCTTGAAGTTAACCGAAAGATAAGGATTCGTAACCTGCTTATATTCTTGAGATTTCATTCGCTAACTTGCTCAAAGCTCAACGTTAAACAAGACTGATCTCGCTCGTTAAGGAGAGCTTTTTTTAAGTTTTTTTCCTCTTCCGGCGTATACGCGACAAGAACTCTCTTTTCTTCGCTCTCGTCGCCGGCCGCGGACTTTCCCGCGAAAAAAGAGAGAGAGAGAGAAAAAATGCTCGACAATGCACATAAATTTCATTAGTCGAACACGCGAGCACTCGTCGTAAGAATGTCTTTAAAAGTGCGCGTGGAGCAGCTGGTCCGCATTAGGGATCCGTATTTTATGCGCGAGGATCAACCGTTTTAAAGAGATTTGCTGATCAAGCGACCCTACCGCTCCCGTAAAGTATCGCGTAAATCCGTATTTTTACACCGCACGTATCATTAGACGCGCTCATCTCGATCCTCGCTTTACATCGGACACGAGACGGACGGACGGGTGGCGACGTTTAAAGAGGAGAACTTATTTATTCATTTATGTATTTATTTACTTGTGTGTCCCCATGTTTGTACACGGGGGAAAATAATTTGTTTCACAGCACAAATTTTATGCTGTCATAAACGAAATCTATCGGTTACTACACGGAGAAAAAATTAGCGTTAAATCAAGAATAGATATCCTCATGTATGAGCAAGAATATCATAATTTTCTTAGGAGACTCAGTCTTGATTTGATTGAATTTATATCAATCCAAGTAATTACTTGAACTCAATTTAAAACTAAAAAGATTATAATTATTATTTAATTTTATAATAATTATTATATTATTAATTTTCTTGCCGTGTACATCAGCAACGAAACGATTTGTTAGAAGAACATTAATTGCTATTCATTGGATTATTTTGCTAGACGTACAAATTACTTTGCCGTAAGAACAAATTAGTAAACGTAGGAAAACACTGTTTTGTTATAACAGCAAATTAACACGCCCTAAAGGACAAATTCATTCGGCAGAATATTTTCTATCTTGGCAACGAAACTGTTTCTGCTCTAATTACGAATAAATTCGCGTAATTTGATTATGCCAGCTAAATTTTATTGCTGTCGCAGCGAATATACAGCAGTAACGATGGTTCCGCCACGACGGTAAAATTCTTTTTCTCCGTGTGTGTATATATATATAAGACGTTATTTCTTATTTCTACTTTACACTACTTTATTCCTATTACGAGGAAAGGATTTTTCTTTTCCCGTTAATAAATGTCTGCTAAAACGGTCGACAGGTAATCTCGCGAAAATATCGCGCATCGCCGGGAGTCCACCGTTGAATTCCTGTACGATTTATTTCCCATCGGAATTTATATTTCCCAATGATTACCGCCGTATCATCCTAATTCCTCTCTATAGTGGCAATTTTCCAAGCTGACGCTCAGCTCCGGCTAAACACGTGACTCCGGAACGGCATTTGGGAATTAGATGATTACGCAATGAATCTCGATTTAGAAAGGAGAGAGAGAGAGAGAGAGAGAGAGAGAGAGAGAGAGAGAGAGAGAGATTCACCTTGCTCGAAGGACAGGGACACGTGCGAACTTCGCCCGGGTGTAACGAACCCCGGTCCACGGTCAAAACCCACGTCGCGAAGTCTCCCGGCCGGGGATAGGTAGCTGTGTAGCGGCTCTCCCAGGTCGCGCTCGTTCCTCTCCGGGAGCGCAATTCCGTCCTTTCGCTCGAGCATTTTTCCTCATCGGCTTCCTCGCCCTCCCTCTCGTCCTCTCCTCCCCATTGTTCCCGCGCCGTCCGTCTTTCCGCACAAGGCACGGAGCAGCTTTTACTCACCGACTCGTTCTCGCCCGCGCCCGAGTTTCTTTCTCTCCCTCGCCTTCCTCTTTCTTTCTCTTTCCCCTTCCTTTTTCTCCGAGAGTTATCTCGATGGAACTAATTCCGGGTGCAATGCGGAAGGATACGGGATTCTCTCTCTCCCCCTCACCCCTCCGTCAGGAAGGAATCGGATTTCAAAGGGCTTCCTCGCTCTTACAAATGCAGGCAACGTGTGTCCGTTATATACAGCGCCGGGGTAATTTCGCAAAATGAGAGATACCCGCGCGCTATCATAGCCGCCGCCGTCCAAAATCCGCCGAGCAGAATACCAATGAGGCCGTTCATCAGGAAGCGAGGGAGCCCGAATAAGAAGATAATCGTCGCGGTTGGAGGTATGGCGAATCCGCGGAATGCGCGCGCGACGCGCGTTAAGAATTGACGCGGTAATGCCGTCGTTNCCCCCCCCCCCCCGCTCCACCTTCTTTCTATTTTTCTTCTTGCATCTTGAAAGCGTTAAAACGACCTACAATACGCCGACGTTTTCGAGCTGCGCGCCTCGCGTTATCTATCGCGGCGCGCGCGCGGTGATCTTTCTCTGGCGGTTAACTATTTGCACTGATAATGATAATGAGCTGAGCGAAAGCTAATCGATCGCTTATCGTTGTTGCAGAGGCGGACTGCCGAGATAACGGTGGACAGCGAGGAACAGAACGCGGTGTTCGTGCGTATCTCCGGTGAGTAAGCTTACGGCGTGTCTCGTGTTCCGCGCGCGGCTGTTCGTGTCAGTGCTCGTGTCGATCGCGCGACGGCCGATATCCGTTTCCTGGCCGTCGGGGCCGCGTCAACGGCTCGACGTCGCCGTGGATTTTCGGGCGATCGATTTCGCGAGGGAAGCTCTCGCCGTCGATCGAGGGAGATCGTCGGACGACGGCGTTTTCGGGATCCATGGATCGTCGTTGCGTTCCTCGTTGCTCGGAGGTGCTCGCCCAGCCGGCCGCGTCGAATCCTTCGACGAGGCGAACGAGATGGCAAGGTAGCGACGACGACATTTCTTGCGATCCGATGTTGTTTTTCTCTCTCTCGAGGGATGGAACATATCCTGGTAGTCTCCTTCAATACCTCGACGCGGAGACGAGAGAGAAAGAGAGAGAGAGAGAGAGAGAGAGAGAGAGAGCTCGAAGTTCGCTAATACGAATTCTCGTCCCCGGCAGGAACGAGTCCGGCTCCCAAGTTCTCTATCCGGGTTTGATCAGGGTTATCGACGAGAGATTCCGGCGGAAGTTCGAATTTGCATTTGGTATGCATGGAAAGAAGAAGAGCCGTAACTTCGCGCCTCGCTCAGAAGTTTATACGACGCGCCCAGTCACTCCACGACGGCATTGTTTTCCCGCGGTAGTTTGTGTTCCCGGTTGTCGTCGGTGATTCCAAGGGAGTTCCCGTGGTCGAATGTCCGTGAGCGCCGGACTGTATCTTATAAATTTCACAGCTGACGACAAAAAGGCACTATAGCTTTGGTTGATGGTGAATTTTTAGTTTTACTTGTCGAAAAAAAAAAAATCTGACAAAAGATGATTTAAGGTGACTGAATGGCGGCACTGCGATTTGTTTATTGTTCAGAGAGGGTGTCGTCGCGGAGCCGTCTCGCGGAGCGTTTATCTCGCCATCAATAGTATTTCCCGGGACGCATCGTCGAATACTAATTAACCGCGCGCGCCGATTGTGTGATAACGCTTTTCTATGTTTCCTCGTGGTTCCGCGTCGAATCCGTGCGGCATCCCGTCGCAAACGAACCGCGTGTCGACGAGGAGAGATTATCCTACGAATTCGACGGGGTCGCTCTCTTGTCCGAGGTCGTTGCCCCGTGCATCGTGAATATCGCGAGATAAGGAGGAAGGAGCGACTCGCGCGCGAGGCAACGCGCGGCTCTCGCAACGACGACGCGCTTCCCCCCGGTTATACACCGGCCACTGCGTTTCTTTCGATAGATAACTCGTAATTAGCTCAGGCCTCGAATCGTCCGTGCCGGCCGATAACTGGGTTAATTGCGCGCAGACGAGCAACGCGTCCGCGTAATACGCCCAACAATTATCTCGGCGCTCGCTAGTTCGCTCATTCGCTCGCTCGCTCGTCGCAGTCCGGTTGCCGGAGAAAAGAATGCATAATTTATTCGACCTGCCGCGCGAGATATTCGCCTTGTATTGTCGCGGAACGTATCACGCGCGAATACGTATGTGTGTGTATTTACTTGTACACGTGTAGGTACACACGACACGCTTGCCGGCTCCGTAGTCGTCGACGCGACGAGCATCGGCGTCGTTGCGGCACGACTGCAATTTGCGTTGTGCAACGAGAACCCGCGGATAAAGCACGGCACGCTGCGCCGCGCGTCCAAGTCGTTCGTCGCTCCGAGTCTTATCGTGCAATTAAATAGGCTATAATAGCGCATAATTGGAGCATTGTTAGGCAAATTGGCGCGAGAGAGGCTTCCTTATCTATTTTCATCATGTGTGCTCATCTATATATATATATATATATATTATATATATGTGTGTGTGTACCGCGATGGCGCACGTTCGTCCCCGATTGAATCACCGCGAGGCGAAATTAATCGAGGATTAATCTGCCTCGGATAATTTGTCTCTCCACGTATCCCCCGTCGCTTCCTCTGCTACGATCGCAGCTACGTACGTTCGTCGTTGCAACGTCATATATAGAGACGTGTAATCGTGCGACGAATTTTCGTCCGAAACCGATAGAAAATAGTTTTACTCACGGACAGGAAGCGGATTAGGAGGAACGCGCGATGGTGATAACGAGGCGACGCGTGAGGCGCGATCTTAGAAACGGGGAAGCGCGTTTCCATTATTTGACCATCGACTGATATTTCAGCGCCGGAGAAGCAATATCCGATGCGTTCTCATCTCTATTTATTCGCCTTTCGGCGATGGTGTGTCTCGCGAAAATTCATTTCGCGTTATCGCCACTGCGGTCGGTGCGCGCGCGAATGAGAGAGGAGGAGAGGGAGGGAGAGACCGCTCGATCGATTTGGCTAAAGTCGCAAGTCGTACCAACGAGCCGTCGCATTTAGACACACGACCTTAAAATCCACAATTGGATGGCATTAGGCGAATAATAGAACGTGAACGCGAAACACGTCAGCGCGCGCGACTCGCTGCCAATTCGGCGCATCGTCCGACCGCGTGGTGCGTGTTCATTATGACACAGAACTAAGGGGATACTCAGCAAACGTATCTCTCTCTCTCTCTCTCTCTTTCTCTTCTGCTCGAACGCAGTTCTGTATTTATTTTCTATAATTTGACAGTTTCGAAAGAACAAAAATAACATTTTCTCTCAATTCTTCCGTGGATATTTTTCTCGAGTTTCTCATCTTCTTCTACAGAAAACGAAGCAAATGTGGCAGATTTTAATCAAACACACGTGAATTTTTCTTTCCGAGAAACTTGAAAATTTTAATATCTTCTCCGGAAGATTGGCGAGAAATCGGAGAAGGTGGGGAAGGAAGGGGGCAAATCCGCGCAATGACAATGAAAATCGGTCGACGGTCGGAAAATAGATTCGGCTAGACGCGAACTAAAATTGCTGCAAACGCGTGTGCATGCACACATGCGAACATGTGAGTGTCGTTTCACGCGATCAATCCGGTAGTCCGCGTCGCTGGATAAAGACAGACACGTGAGAAGGTGCGAGGGGTTGCGCGATAACAGAGCGGATGCGCGATACGTCGCACCTATAGACGACGACAACCTGTGTCTGCCTGTCCGCGGCAATGGCCCCGTTAATGCGTAACTGTTAACATTATTCACGTAGCTTTAACTTACGCTACCCGGGCACTCTCGGGCTTTTCGCTGAGTCCGCCGCTTTTTAGATAATGTCGCGCCGAAATCACGTGCGAACCCGTCGGGTTTCGCGGATTCGCGTGCGGCCATCGCGTAGATTAAAGTCGCCGATCGATGCGACGGTGACGACTCAGCTGATCGCCGCCGGAATCTTTTGCGATCTCTCACGTATTTCTTTTTCTTTATCTTTAAGATCGAACGATCACGCGGGATCGTTCGTTCTCTCGCGAAATGCTGAGAACGCCCTACGTTTACCGTAGATAGCAGCTTATTTCGTAATTCCGGCACATCGGCGGCCACATTACCGGAGGCACGTGATGAATCCACGACGGAAGAAGCTGCGTTCAGACGTTTATCGGACGCGGAGCGAATCCTGCTGGAGAGCCTGGACGTCGGTCGATGCAGGCCCAGGCACACGGGTCGATTCCTGACGATGCACAAGAGACGGCGTAAGAGGCTTACCACGAGATCCTTGAATCAGGAGCCCGGTATCCTGGACGACATCTTCCACGGACTAGTGCAGGTAATTCCCGCGCTCGGGCCGGAGCTTTTTCCGGAAAAACGTGCTCATCCGTACCAGAGTCATCAAACAAAGGTTCTTCCTGTANTCTCTCTCTCTCTCTCTCTCTCTCTCTCTCTCTCTCTCTCTCTTTCTCCTATTACTTCGTACAGCCATATTTTCCTTTTCGACTCCAAGTCACCATTCGAAACTTTACCGAGCAAGCTCTCCTTTTTCCGCGAATTGAATCCGCGAGAATTAACATCGAGCTAAGATTTTCATCGAAACTGAAAAACACTTCGTCCTTCTCCTCGATGTTTCATAACGGAAAAATCTCCAACGCCTCGACGTCGGTGGAAACGGTGGGAAAGCAGTCGCAATTTTTTCCAACGAGTATCCGCAGCCGCGTAATTCGATTGCGCAAACGTTGTACTACGCCGCGATTATTTTCTTTCACAGCACGTCTGTGAAAAATATTCGAAAAAGAAATCCGACGTGTTCTCGCTAATCTCGGTCATGAACGGGACTTCATTCTCTGCGGGTTTTGCATTTCGATAATCGAGCACGGAGGAATAAGAAACGAATCGGTATGGAAGTTCCGAGTCTGTTTACGAGGCGAAAGAGAGAGAGAGAGAGAGAGAGAGAGAGAGAGAGAGAGAGAGAAAGGCGATGGTCGAAGTTTAATACCATGTCGCCCACCCCGACTTTATTGAACTTTGAAGTTCACGAAATAAGATCGTATTTCCTTATATTCTCGGAGCCGCGCGCAATCCACTAACTTCGGGAAAGTTCCCCCGGCACGATTCCGCGAAACTAATAAATTTATATACATTACATTCGAGGTATCGACTTTGGAAAATACGAGCCGGTGGCGGAGATGCGATAAAGGTAAATAGACTGCTTTTCGAAACGCGAACAGTCGATTGCGGCAGTCGTTCACTCACTCCTGATGGATCCGGCGGCGGTTTCGCG